TATGAAGTGTTATGTGCATATAATATGTGCAGATATCTTACCATTCCCTCTCTGTTCCGTTTTCCTAATTGTTGGTCTTTTGGCTTGTAATGTTTTTATTTTCAGCTTATCGATGAGATTTGGTCTCGCAATCGCTTGCCTGTTATAGTTGGTGGAACAAATTACTATATCCAGGTAAGGTGTTGTATTAGTTTATTGATGCAATAAATTTCATTAAATTTCTGCTAGTTGTAGCTTTCTGTTGGACCAGTGGGGAGCCATGGAAGTCTGAACGGCACTGTGCGGTTCTTTCTTCTTTGAAGCTCGTACAATTCTTTTCAATTGCATTTTTTTTGTGATTCATCGAGTTTATCTCAGCAGATAAAATACCATTGCCATTTTGTCAGGCTCTTGTTAGTCGGTTCCTATTGGATGATCATGCAGAAAATCTCGAAGAAAATTTCTCACCAGATTTTCCTGGTAAAAATGGAAAAACGAAAAGAAAATTACAGTTTTTTTTTTGAGATGTTTTGAGTTGATGGTAGGTCAGCTGCAAGAATAACATGTTTCCAATCTATATAGTGGATAATGAGGAAGTCGATTTTCAACTTGGGCCGTCAAACGAAAATTGTGATTACACTTATAGTCGTCTGAAAGACCTTGATCCTGTGGCAGCTAACAGAATTCACCCGAATGATCAAAGGAAGGTGAGATTATACTTGGACTCTCATATTTTGTTTTTTGTTGTTATTTTATTTATTTATTTATTTATTTTTTGGGTACTGTAATTTCCTTCACTTTTGTCTCCACCTGTCATACTAAATACAGATGGAAAAAGATTAGTAATCAGGTCACTATTAGGCACAACATTTAATTTGCTTTTAACTCTGAAACTGGCTCCTTAAGGCATGATATTGTCTTGTAACTTTAGTTCAGAGTTCGTGTGCCGGCTTTATAAATTAGTCTACCATGCATATGTGTAGCCAGCTTTCATATAGGTGCCTATGGCTTACCTTAACTGCTGGGCTACATACACACACACATGTTCAATTGACAAAAATAAAAAGTATCTGATTTTACAATAAAGAAGAAAAAATTCCCACCCACCCATGGTAATTGAAAATGGGAATGCTTCCTTGATAAAAATGCCCTTTACCACAGGACTAAAGCTGATCACTGCTTCTATATCAAAGTACTGTTTAGCAAAACCAAAATTGCTTTTTAACATGATGATTTATTTTATTCTTTTTTCTAATGACCTGCAGATCAACCAATACCTTAGCTTATATTCACGTCTGGGTGTACTTCCAAGCAAGCTTTTCCAAGAAGATGCAATGCAGGTTTGTTCAACCTTGTATTTTATTTCCTTTTAGTCAACCCCACTGGGACCCCCGCACGCGCGCTCTTGCTACATGTATCTATCTATATATACATATAATTTTATGATGAATTCCAGTCATATCTTTATTTACACTCATGCTTTGAGACAAAGCATGACACATGATGAGTAATAAACGTCTAGGACCAGCAGCATGGTGAATGCTAAATTTGAATCTTTTAAAATTGCATTTGTTTCCATTTTTCAAACCCCACCTTCACTAACACTAAAGTAGGATTTGTTTTTTTCTTTCCTTCATTTTCTTTTGAGGAATTAGGCTAAAGCATGGTAATTTTGTATATTCAATGCACTTTACGTAATGTTACCCTTAACTAGTCTGGACAGATGCTATTATTATTTAACAAACAAGGTAGCTATTATTGTACTAAATAGATAGCATCTACTGGATCATATCATTTTCGTGTAATTTTTGGTACTATGACATGGCAGGGCAGGATTGGGGCCGAGCTGATAATTTAAGATACTACTGCTGTTTTATATGTTTGGATGCATCTCTACCGGAACTGGATCAGTATGTGAATCGAAGAGTTGACCAAATGGTGTCCACTGGTCTACTTGAAGAAGTTCGTGATATTTACAATCTTGATGCTGATTATACACGAGGGCTTAGGCAGGCGATTGGTGTCCGGGAATTTGATGAGTTTTTAAGATATTGGAATAGTGAATGTCTACGACAGTCGTCTGAATGTTTGGGAGTTTCTAAACACAATATGCTTCAGGTTTTGGATTCCAGTAGTGAGGACCAATTGAAGATCACCTTGGTAGAAGCTATTGAGAGAGTGAAATTGAATACGAGAAGACTTATTCGTCGCCAAGTAAGCAACACTCCTGCTTGAGCTTTCTTTTCTCTTTCATGAATGACTTGTAGGAATAACTACAAAACATACTCTGGGTTTCTGTTTCATTACACATATAATTTAGAGGAATTCCAGAATTGCCAAAGAAACCTTTAGTTTTGATTATTTGTTACTTGTTAGTTTATAAGTTTCAAGAGGTGACTGATAGTTCTTGATATGTAGGGATGCTTAATGCTTTCTTAGATAAAATATTAAGCTCCTAGTTTGCCCTCATTTAATTTGTATGTCTATCAGTGACATAGAATTGCAAAATTGCAACAATATTGACCTTGAGTGAATATAGGGAATATCTCATGAATGTTACTTTCCCAAACTATTGATATTTTTGTGAACCCTAAACAGTGAAGAGGCCTATCTTTGTGAAATGGACTACTCTATACAAAGCTATTGCTGATATTTTTGTGCTCTTCAACAGAAACGAAGGTTTAGTCGACTTCAAATGCTGTTTGGATGGGATATAAGTTTTGTCGATGTCACGAGTTTCCTGCAATGTATGTTTATCTCTTCCTTTCTTAGCATATCAAAACACCATAAATATTGTTTCCTCTTTACTTATTTCAGACTTTCAGTAGTTTAATGATGAGACGGAGTGTGTACAGGTTTTTCAGACGATCTATGGGCTGCAGATGTGTTGGAACCGTCGGCTTATATAATCAAATCTTTCCTTGATAAAGATGTCAAATTCAATATTACCAAGCCAAATTCCCGAGAGATAAAAGTAAAACGAGACCTCTGGACTCAATACGTTTGTCAGGTTAGTTGTAGGCTTGTAGCACACTCTATTACACACTTGACGTGTAACGTAATTACAAAAAGGCCATAATCTTTCAAAATTTTGCAAGTATCCCTTCCATGACTTAGTACTTCAGGAACCGCACTGATTAAAGTGGGAAACTTTATATCTCATACTTCTGTGTGTTTTTTATAACTTTGACAGATTGACCGCGGATTTGCCTCTGAGTAGATCCTAGTAGGTTTTGCAATAATTGCAATAACATAAGTAGAACACTAGAAGGTGCAGATGGGTTCACCTTGCTTGCCACAAAAACTTACCCTTTGTGTAATTTGTTTCTAGGCATGTGGTAATAAGGAGCTTCGAGGTGCACATGAATGGGAACAACATAACAAGGGGCGCTGCCATCGTAAACGAATATCAAAGTTGAGAAAGTCGGGCAAATTTTCGGATTTGAGCCAAAACAATTTTTCTGATTAATATATATATTTTATTTTTCTTTTGAGGAATGCTCATTTCTCTAGTTGAATGTGTAATTTGTGAAGTGCTTCATCTGTATCCCTTCTTGCCTGACATATTTTAGTACTAAAACGAATTGTACTCGGTTTTTTTCCAGTGGTCATTGGCCAGCTACTCCCCTTGTGTTTATGTGTGTCTTGTTTGATTCATATTTTACATGTAGGTCTTTGAAGTTAAAGTTCCCATTAGATGGATATCCTGTGACATGAATTATTGGATTAAACAAATTCTCGTTGTATTAGCTACTAGCTATTATTCAAGGGAGACGAATGGCTAAAAACAGTATCTCTATACTATTTTTTTTTTTATACAAAGAAGGAGGCCAATGGCCCGGAACTACGAACTTAGTACTCGTCGGGGGTAGGCCACTCCACGTGCGTCATGGTCGAGCCAATCCCCTAACCCACGAGGAGGTGACGATATTATTTGCAAGCCTAGCGGCTCAGAGGCTGCTAAATCCGCCAAACAGTCCGCTGCAAAATTCGCCTCTCGATGCACATGCTTAGTCTGTAGGCTCCAGTTTTTGCTCAGCAAGCTTCTAATCGCTCGAACTAGAGAGTCGTGGACGCCAAAATACCTCTTGGGGCCCAAGATCATTCGCGATACACATTGACTATCCACCTCCGCGACCACCTTTTTGAAACCTCTATCCCATGCCAACTGGATGCCTTGAAATAAACCCCACAGCTCAGCCCCGGTAACGGTTCCAATTCCCACATTCATAAAAAAACCCCACAATCCAACGACCGAACTCGTCCCGAACTAACCCCCCGGAGCTGCAAAAACCAGTAGTACGGTCAACGGACCCGTCACTATTTACCTTGACCCATCTCGGATCCGGTCGGTGCCAATGTATCAACCGTAACGTGTGCACCGCCGCGCCGGCCCGTGCATAAGCCGCCATCGCTTTCATGTAGTTCTCCGTACGACGAAGGATGTCGAGGCATCGCGACTCGCAGCTCAGATTATGGTGATTAAAGACGCATTCATTGCGCCACTTCCAAGCATTCCAGACGGCAAACGCAAAGGTGCTGGGCTAAGTCGTGGAGCGTCCCAATCTCACTGACCCTAAATTCGACCAAAACCACTCATTAAGGTTCTGGAGAAAAAAAAAAACCACAACAGTACCAGGTGGAAGAAGCCTCTGCCACATGCACTTAGTGATTGGGCAATCACGTAGCATGTGCATTGTCGTTTCTGGAATCCCACAGATTTCACAGTCCTGTGAATCCGCCATGTGCCGCCGTGCTCGCTCGCAGTTAGTCAAAATCCGGTCCTTCGCTACCAGCCAAAGAAACGTCCGAACCCGTTGCAGCACCGGTGCTTTCCAAATCAACTTCCACAGCGGGCGGGCCGGATCTCTCTCATTTTTAGCTAAGGCCGAGTAAGCCGTTCTCGTAGAGAAGTTACCCTCATGAGACGGTCCCCACATAAGCCTGTCATCTCCGGCCGTGGCCCTCGGTGGCATTATCCCGGCAATGTGAATGATGATAGCAGAGGGGAGAACCCCATGAAACACATCCCAATTCCAATTACCACTAGCGTCAACGAACTCAGCGACTTGCAAATGGAGTGTATGCTCCGGCGGCCGCTGCAATGCGTGTGAAATAAGTGGGCCCAACATGCCCACCCACGGGTCTAGCCAAAAGCGCACTGTCTCACCATCGCCAATCTGCCATCGAACTTCCTTCACAATATCCGGCCAAACCTTGCAAAGCGCTTGAAGGAGCGGTGATCCTTGGCGATGTCGTGGTTTGTCCAGCCTATTCTGGTTTGTTAGGCCATATTTAGCATACATGAGCCGAGCCCAAAGAGAGTTACTTCTCGATAGAAGTCCCCACCCTAACTTCATCAGCAGGGCATGATTCATCTTTTGCGAATTCTTCAAACCCAAGCTACCCTCGTTCTTGGGCTTACAGACATCCTTCCATGCGACCAAATGAACTTTTCTCTTCTCTGCCGAACCACCCCAGACGAAAGCCCGACACCGCCGATCAAGGTCATCAGTGATGACGTGGGGTAGATGAGTAGCCTGCATGGTGTAATAAGGCAAAGCACTAAGCACGGACTGGGATAGCGTAACACGTCCTGCCATTGACAATGATTTCATACGCCACCCAGCTAATCGCGCCTCCGCTTTGTCCAGAATGTGAGAGAACGTCGACTTGGTCACTCGATCGTGGATAACCGGCACTCCAAGGTACTTCCCTAAATTGTCCGTGCGCTGAAACTGAAGGAAATCTGCCAAATGGCTTTGTTCATCAGGCCTAACATTACGCGAAAAGAAAACTTGAGTCTTCTCCGAGCTAACTTTCAGTCCCGACAAGTTACAAAAGTACCCTAGAATACGTTTCAGGGACATCGCATGTACCTCCGACGCTTACATGAATAAAAGAAGATCATCCGCGAACATCAAAAACGACATGGCAACAACCCCTCTCCCCACGGATATCGGTCTCCACGACTGCCCTTCAACCGCTTTGTCAATAATCTGCGCCAGTCGCTCCATGCACAACACGAACATGTAAGGTGACATAGGGTCACATTGCCGGACACCTCTGGTGGGCTGAAATTCCTCCCCAAATGACCCATTCCACGATAACCGCATTGAGGCCGACCGCACACAGGCCATGATCGCGTTAATCAGAACATCTGGATAGCCGGCTAGCCGCAAAGTTTCGTCAATGAAGTCCCACCTAAGAAAGTCGTAAGCCTTCTCAAGATCGACTTTGATGAACATGTATCCCTCGCACCTTGCTTCCTCCGCATGGAGTGGATTAGTTCGTGGGCCATGACAATATTATCGATAATTTGGCGACCCGGGACAAAGCTAGCTTGGGCCGGATGGATTAATTCAGGGAGCGAGGTCTTCATACGGTTCACCAGTACCTTCCTAAAGAGCATATAAATAACGTTGAGTAAGCTGATGGGTCTAAACTGCTTAAGAGTAGTAGCATTATCGATTTTGGGGATTAAGACAATTAAGGTTTGGTTCACTTCTGCTGGGACTACACCATCTCGCCACATTTGACGAATAAAGTCCCGCACCGAGGGCCCCACAATGTCCCAGTTTTTCTTGTAGAATAGGGCATTTAACCCATCTATCCCTGGGGCTTTTAAAGCCTCCATGCTTTGCAGGGCCGAGAAGATTTCCCTATCCGTCACCTCATCCTTCATAGCCTGCACCATCGCCTCATCACAACGTGGAAACAAATTAGGAAGAACCCCTGTCCTCTCGGGTTCAGATCCGCCGGTGTAAATTGCCCGAAAAAAAGCCATAGCAAGAGAACGAAGAGCTTGTTGGTCCGTCACAAGATTTCCCTCACTATCTAGCAACTCCGTAATCCGCCCTCGCCTTCGTCAGAATTTAATCTGTCGATGGAAGTAGGAGGTATTCCTATTGCCCAAGTGCATCAAGTCCCTCGTCGACTTTTGGAGAAGTAGTAACTCAACCTGAAGAATGACATCATCTAGCTCTTCGTGTAGTTGATTCTCGAGTGCCACAAAACTTTCCTTAAAATAGAATTGTCGGCATCTCTGGATACCACCAATCCGAGCAAGGAGACGTTTCTTACGGTGGAAAATATTGCCAAAGACCGTGTAATTCCACTCCGTAGCCGCTGCTGCAAACTGTTTGGCTGCTTCGGAAAAATCCATATTGGTTTGCCATTTGTCTCGTAACATACTCGAAAATTCTGGGTGAAGA